TGTTTTACTCTCAGCTTAATTACTGTACTTGCGTCTCACAAGGGGGTGGGGTCATTGTGCTATTTCTGACATCAGGGTCTATGTGACGCACACGGGAATAAGGAAGAAGCCAGGTCCTCTGCAGACAAAAAGCTCTTTCTCTCTCACGCAGTTGCCAAAAGGCTCTGTGAGAAAGAGACACAGAGAGGGTGTGCACGTGTGCGAGCCAGTGAGCGAGATTGTTACTACAGCTGTAAGACCATCATCTATGGCTGATTCTGAGACAAAAGGACTCCACTGCTTGTCAAATGACACACTAAAAGCCCAGGGGGTCCTTCGCTTCCTGTTTCTGTATACAGCCTGTACAATCTGCAGGGCTGTGAGGTACTAGAAACACAGGAGGGATTTGCTTCAAAAGGGGGGGAAAAAAAAAAAAAAAAGCTTGTAAGACTTAAACAAGGGTTCCATTGTGCAAATCGACCCTGCAACGTCCCCTGAAAGCAGCAGGCACTTTTACAATATGTACCTCTCTACTAGTCAACAACTTACAATCCCACATTTCATATCCATATAGACTGACAAAACAGCAGCACTTAACTGTAACCCCTTAAGCATTTTATCCACCTTAAGAATATGCAAACTCCTCGCAGAAAGCACCCAGCCTAGTAGCAAACGGTAACTTGGAACCTTTTTTGTTCTGAATAAACAGTCTTAACCGATGCACTACAATGCCGTCACACTTACCCAATTAACAAGGCCACCGGGCAAACAAGCCTTTGACAACTATAACAATACCAATCACAAAATACTAAATAATGCAGCTGATTATTTAATTAAATTGAACTGAAAGTTAAAGTTTCTGCCTGCAATTCTACTTCTAAATATCCTGTAAGCAAGCAGTCTGACAGCAGTTTTCTATCGGTGTGATATCCCATATGGAAAAGATATATAAATCTTATAAAGTTTGTATCTGTCTTGTGTGAAACTTGTATGAAAAGCATATAAGAGTAAAAACAGATATAAGATCCCTTGAAAAATTATATAATGAAACTTGTATGTTTTGGATACTTACTAAAACAATGTATGGAAGTAATGAGAAAGTGGCCACTTTCATGAGTAATCACATATAAGTTTTTACTATTTCTTTTCCATATGGGATTGTACTAAGAGGTCTTTAAGACCTCACACATACTTACACACACAGTATACTATCATAATATAATTTAATTATAATACAACATCATTATAACATGTACATAATATGCCTAAATTGCAGGATATATTTGAACTTTTGACCTCTACTCTTACTTGGTCTTACTTTGACCTTCTCCGTAGCAACAAATCTGATGATGCAAAATAAGGCTACAGATTTATTTTTTTTAAAGATTATTATAATAAGCTTTAAAAAAAATTAATTCTTTTCAGATATGTTGTGGAAGGTACTGTGACTCAGAATTTGACACCTTTGCACATCCTCCATTTCTGCATGACATTGTTGAATTACTTTTGTTTAGTTGTGTAAACATCTATTTATTAAAGAAAAAAAAGAAAAAAGATGTGTGGTCAAGTGATGACATGAATAAACATGTGGATCACATGTTCAATCACTTCTTCATATCTGGCATCATCACAAGACGTCAGATCTAACTGATTAACTTTGCATGTCTCAGTGTCACAGCATCCCACATCCTGACTTGGCCTACCTCTGAATAAATTCGGGAAAATCTTTTGAGATTTGATGTGGAACAATCCAGCTGTGCTTTCCAATATAATGGTTTGCATCAAGTGTTCTTTATCTCTTTTTTTTTTAAATCTTGTTAAAAAATTAAGAAAGCGTCACATCACAATAATTCACCTACCATATACAGATAGAGATATATCTCTATGCTCACAATGTATGATTGAAAATCATCTAAAAAAAAAAAAATGCATAGGTGTAAAATTAAACTAAATAGCTTATCCATAGTTTTTTTTAAACTGTTGTTTTTGGATTCAGCACATTAAAATCCAGGAGCAATAAGAAGACATGAAAGAAACTGCACATTTTGCAAGTAATGCGGCAAAAATGCCATTAAGACTCGAGTTAAGACTGAACTCATCCTTAACTACTGTCCCAGCTACTCTAAAAGTATAGAGAGCAGTATTTTATGTACAATATTCCAGTCTAATGTCAAACTTCAGCAGCACTGAGTGCGACATCAATATTTAAGCACAGTGTGTTTATGCTCTGCTGCTCTGGACTGAATAAAATCTTCCCTGTCACAGTTTCCCTTCCGGCTCTTCAATATGGACCCATAGCGCAGCGCTATTGAAGGTGCTGTTTTTGGAGCTCAACATTACAGGACGGCAACACTTACTTACCTGCCTGTTCCTGACGGCCCATGTCACTAGAGGCTCAAGACTCTCAGTGGAGTTTACTGCCACAGTCAATTACATAAAGACAATGTGTTCAGCTTTCACATAGACACTTTACCAACTTTATAAGAGGACTCATTGATTGCCATGAAAAACAACCAGAAGCAACAATCAATTGGTGGAATTTCCATTCCACATTTCGATCTGGGCGTGCCACACAAACACTGCAAAACACTCAGTGACAGACATGATAAAGTAGTAGCACCAAGGTGACCATGACCTTCAAACTAAAAGAAACCCCATGATATTTAATGTTCAAAGGCTATTTCCAATCTACTGAGCCAAAGAGTGCAGCTTGTATGAATATCAGCCAACCACAGCAGCTAATTAAATTCCATTGTCCATCAGCTGATCATGCATATCTGCTCGCAGCTGTAATTCTGTGGTGTTGAAACATACTTGCCTACTAAATATTTGCCATAAAGTCTCAATATAGCCTGACTGGGGAAGACAATAGAAGCCCTGTTCTAGTTGAAAAAACAAATCCAGCTTTTCAACACTAACTACTTGATGTTTAGATATATATATAAAAATTAAAAATAAAAAAAAAAAGCGATCAGAACAGACTTTACTTTTCATTAAGTTTCATAAGGTATACAATCGACTGGAGTGGGCAGGCATTGACAAAGGCGTCCTGCTTTAGTTTTGAATGATATACCGGAAAATCAAGTCTCGTGTCAACAGACTTGATTTGGTGCCAGTAATTCGGCACCAAGTAACAATACTTGACTTGCAAATGTGATGACACTGGTTTGCGCTGAAATACAGCATAAAGTTAATGCAATTTTCTTTAGACCACGCCGGTTTATAACAAAAGTTGTCTCGAAACACTTTGTAGTAAATAAAGGACTTCTACACGCAATAAAAGTGTAAGAATTCCGTTTTCCTTTATCGCAACATCCAACAATCTAACCTGACCCAGTAAGCAAGGTGACTTCTCACCAGAGCAAAACACAGCATACAAATGTTCTGTTAAGCTATGGACGCAATACAAGATGAGCAATATGGATGAAACTGAAGTGGATATTTTTTTGGAAAAATTTATTTAAAACACTGAGAACCTGGGCTTTGTCATACAAGCTTGGGTCCGTGTTGGAGTTCATTGTGGTTAGTGAAAATCAGTTCGTCAGGGTACTGCTGCCAACAGTCACTTTGAAGTTTATCAGAATATAACCTTGACAATAACAGGCTACTCCAGGCCAGTTAGAGGAAACCACAGTTCTGAAATAAAGTTTTTACTTAAAAATGAATTAATACTAGCAACACGAAAGTGCTTTCAGTGTGACTGTCATTTACAAGGGAAACATCTGCCATGTTCTTTAGATATGTTTGTTTCTTAATAACGTAAACAGTGACACAAACCAGCAAACACAGCGGTAATCTGGGTTCAGTCAGTTTGACCTGAACATCTTACAGAGCATCTGTCCGAAGAAGAAAAACAAAAACAAACACCACAACAACAAAAACAACTTTATCTGACAGGACTGCTGTGACCTAGATGGAGTACACGGGAAAAGCAGAGGTTCCCATCTACCAATAACACACGTAGAGCGGCATGTGATGGTTTAAAGACAATAAACGGAGATTGTAAATACATAAGGTGAACACTCTGACAGTTGGGGTTAATTCCCATTATAATAAGATACGTTGTAGTCTGATTTCTATATAATTCAACCAGTAGTTTCGGGTGATGCGAGTGGTCTTACCTTGTCCAGCTCATCGTGCAGCTCCGACAGGGTGGGTCTGGTGAGTTTCTCCCCCAGCGGTGCTGCTGTCTGCCGGTAGAAATCGATGTTGGGCACGGCATCGATGGTATTGTGACCAAAAGTTCTCAAGTAATAGGTATTGGTGTGCGTGTCATAGTGATAGTGATGTTGCCCCCCAGTCGACGAATGTAAGCTAGTCTCGCTCATCACCGTGTCTCCGTTCTGCATTCCCTCAGTCGGCGCTGCCTCCGGAGAGTCCACGCTGCCTACCCCAGTCGGATCCGCAAAGTTCACCACCCGAAACCGGCCTTTAGCTTCCTCTCCGCTGACAGCTGGATTGCTACTCGGAGCATCTGGGGCAGCGGCAGAGGCGTCGGAGCTCGGAGTCTTATCATCGGCGGCGCCCGCAGCCTCAGCCACGAGGTCCACTTGGAAACGGCTTTGACTGGGCGTCGGACCGGGTGGCTTCTGCCCCGCATCCGGGGCTAGAAAATCATGGTCCGTCGCAGAGTTCTCCGCTGGAGCGGAAGACGCAGAGGATGGTGCTGACATGGTACAGCAAACAGAGATGAACGTGGAAAGCGTGTGGATCAAACGCTTTACTCGGCCACACAATATAATGGATGCGAGCAAAAACCCGGTTGCCACCCGTTACAAAGCGTCTTCCTATTTACAGGAAAAATGAACTCGCTGCTCTGACTGGTTAGAAAAGGCGCAGGATAGCGGCGAGGAAAGGAGGAGTAGTGAGGGTAGCTTGTTAGCACGGTCGGAACAAGACTACAGATTGTAAACTTTCCGTCGCTCTCCTACTTCTTCTTCCACGGTGATAAATCCCAAAACTCACAATTTATCGTCCCTCGCTCGGGGACACAGCACTAGATCCCAGCCACTTATGGTCCTTCTGCTGCCCTGAAAACGATGCTGATATCGACCTTGCCGTAGCTCCTCCTAGACTCCCAGAGATTTCCTTGCTGCTATTTTACACACTTCAGACGGCATCGCCAGAGGGCGGACAACGACTAACAAGAACCTCGCGAGGTGTCAGTGATCGCGTTCCTTTTTAAGAGGGAAGGTAATGTCGCGAGAACATATGACAATACCCAAAGAGTAGGCGTGACGTTGTTTGACCCCTGTGAGATCGGAGAAGAGGGGAGGGGATTTGGGGACGGGCGGGGAAGGACGTAACTGCACCACTATATGTGCTGCTGTTTGTCTGTTTGTCCGTTTGTCTTTGTCAAAGCTCCATCTACGACTTCACAAGTATAGGTTTTGTCTGTTGTACATTGCCTATCTCACTGTAGTATGTGGATGGGATAACGTTTGTCCTTTAGCGGTGTATTGTACCCAGCGTGGCCCAAACCCTTCATGTCCCAAAACATTTTGAGTTTTCTCTGCATTTATGCAGACGCATAGCACAGAACTCTCAGTCAATACATAAGCAGTCTGTGGGCCTCCTTCCTTTCTTGTTCCATATCTCTT